CTCTATTCTAGTTACCAAATCTGAACGATGATTTCTAGTAAGTGTTTTGTGATAAAAGAACGTATGTTGATGATTATATTTGCCATTTTTTTGAAACGTAAAATAAAAATTCTACCAGTATATTCATTTGTTTTTCAGAATATATGTGTTCTTAACTTAGAAGTGTACTGCAAGAGGGGTACAAGAAGAAAAGAAAACAACTAGGGAGAAATCTAAATAACAATTAAAGAACTGACGTATCGCCTCCAATGTTTACTGCATCTATTTCTCGCGGGTCATTGTATGTAGGGTTTATTTAAATGAGTATGGATAGATTAAAAATAAATGAGAAACATTCCAAAAGAATACAAAAAACAACTCGAGAACAGTACGAGTTGTATTTATTGGATTTGAAAGACAGAAACCAAATTCGATACTTCCCCGTCCTATATTGTTTATTGTTTTTCTTCTTCTTACACCTCTTGCTGTTAGGAAATATTCTTGGGTAGTTCTAATTATGGACGAATCTGTGTCTGGCTGAATGGCAATGTGCCTATGCCAAAAAAAAAAAAAAAATTCGATACTGTCAATCGTGATTATCTTTTTTGTTGGTGTCATCGGCTTCGACAGCTCAGGCCATTAGCCTCGTTTTCTGTGTAGGTTACGGAGTAGTATTATTATAATAGATACTTCCATAATATAGGTTTTGTTCCCGTTTCGCAGTGCTACTTTAGGAACAGCATTGTTAATTAGAATCCAATAGTAAATGGTAGAATGGACAATCCTAGCTGTGAATCAGAATTAATTTTAAAATAATCAAATGAATTAGAAAACAATTTCTTACAAATTGTACTTGCTGTATTAGGTCGATGGCCATTTAGTTGAATAATTGCTTTTATTATTTAAAACACATCCTAGCTCATGGTAAAAAATGAAAGGGGATGGAAAAATCGCTATAACGACACTTCATAATATTAACTAGGGCTCGGAATTGTATTCGGTTATTTCGATAATTCGAATATTCGAATACTCAAAATTCGATATTTTTAGATCGAAATTATTCGAATATTCGAATTGTCGAATAGTCGAATATTCGAATAGTCAAACATTCGAATAGTTGAATATTCAAATACTCGATATTCGAATATTCGACTAATTCAACTAGGTATTCGATACTGGAATATTCGACTATTCGAATACTTAAATATCGGAATACTGTGAATGTTCAAATACTCGGATATATATTTTGAATTTATTTATATACCTAATTTAAATGTTTCTTTTTATCTATTGCTTAAAAATAAAGGTAGAAGAAAAACCACTAACAAAATTCTGATTTGGGACTATTACGTTACGGCAACATTGTATTTATTTATTTTCTTGTAGGGCTGGCGTTTTATTTGGAAAATGAGGGGAACCCGAACGTTGTTTCACATTCGCATTTTTCACACACTTGTTTATGTTTGTTAAGTCGAATACTCGAATATTCGAATGTACGAATAGTCGACTATTCGAATAGTCAATACTCGAATATTCGAATACTTATAAATATTCGAATAGTGAATAATTTGGGTAATCGAATAAAGTTTCAAACGAATTTTCGAATACAGAAATCTAAAAAATTCAGAGCCCTAATATTAACGATAGCTCTGTTGCTATCGTTGATGAACGATAATTTTGCAACCATATTTGTCTATTTTCAACGATAATCGTTGTCTACTGAATTAGAAAAGTCGTCTGTGAACGATTATCGTCTATTAACGACGTCGTTTTGAGTTACTGAATAGACCCCTATAAGTAAATGCTGTTTGCAAATAAAATGTATTATTTTTTATAACCTATCTTATACGGCAAACGTGAAGAAATTCTGACAGCGAGGACATCCAGATTCAAGTAGCCCGGGGCGGCACTTAAATATGGACTGCCATGGCTGTCAAATGTCTTCCACGGTACGTTTGAAACTCTCGAATTATTAAGGATGTACATGATGTTCTCGAAACATGCTATCAATCGACAGGGCCGACTAGAGGGGTGGTAGCCGGGACTAATTCCCGGGGACCGGGCTTAAATGGGGGCCCGGTAGCGCTGTAAGGGGGGCCCGACAACAGCATTTTTGGTTCTGCATGAGAAATTAGACACAAGATGAGAGTGGGAAGTTAAGTTTCGGCTGAGGACTTATTTTTTTTTTTTTAGAAGAAGAAGTATTTGAAGTAGGGATAATAGTTTTTATAATTCCATTTCAGTAGAAGAACAGTTTTTGGTTAAGATTTTTTTATCACGGGGCCCGATCTAAACAATTGTCCTGGGGCCCGGCCTGGCTCTCAGCGGCCCTGTCAATCGAATATTTTACTCCATAAATGTATATTCCGAAGTAAGACTTTTTATTGTCGTGCAAGTAATTTTCGATCAGTCCGGTCCTGATCTAATCTTTAAGTCCCTCTCTGCCTTATTTTGACCTCTTACGGCCTCCATTTTCCCGTTACTAAGAATACTCGATGATGTAAGTAAACCACCAAAAACCCCCCCTTGGTATGCCTATGGACACTGTCAGTCGAAGTTCTACATTATTCTGGAATATACTGGAAGCGTGAGGAAACATTTAGAAATTGTTATTAGCAATAAATTAGAAAATATAGCGTAGTAAAAAATCAAATATTCGGTTGTGGCTCTGCTAACTTCCTCGTACGCTAGCAGAATCCACGTTTTTGAAGGGATGGAGCCATAAAACTAAAATAGGGATAATAAATTAGCTAAAAATTAAGGCGTAGTAAAAAATCAAAAATTCGGTTGTGGCTCTGCTTGCTAGCAGAATCCAGGTTTTCTCAGTGAAGGAATGGAGCAATAAAAAAGAGGGGAAATAGCTAAGAATTATGGTGTGGTAAAAAATTAAAAAATCGGTTGGGGCTTTGCTTGCTTCAACATACTCTAGCAGAATCTACAGTTTTTTTTTATGAAGGGTTGGAGTAATTGTTGAAAATCAACAATTAAAACAGTATTGTTTTGTGTTCTTAGGTTTAAGTTGGTATTATTGTTTTGTCATACTTATGTCATTTGTCATGTCACGTTGTTGTTCATGTGTCGTTTTGTTGTATATTATACATGCACCTGTTAAATAAAATAAATCACTCGTCATCTGTGTCTTTATTATATATTCTATCAGTAATAAAATTAAATAAAGGGTATTAAATTAGCTAGAAAATATAGTGTAGCAAAATCCACGTTTATTTCATTGAATTAATTAATAATTAATTAATGGTGAAGACACCGTTGCCTTAGTAAGTTCTAGTATATGCGTGAAAATTTGAGAAATACCACTTATAAATTGGCTGTTCTGCTGTTGGAGAAATTTAGAATTTATGAACAGTTTTTGCTTCAAAAATAATTAAAAAATGACTTTTTTTCTGTCAATAGGCCCATATTTTCTGCCCTTTTTTACATATCCAATTAGAAACGTTCATAAACAAAAAACAAACACTTCATCAGATGAGGATGACATTTTAACTGGTCATTTAGAATTTTTGAAAGTCAAAAAATTATTATGTTAAGAAAATGCGAAAAGAATTAAAGTTGTTAAAAATTCATTCAAATTTGGTAGGTGGGTAGAAAACCAGAAACGACTTTTCAATTAACATTTTTGAAATAACCTAACTTACTGTATTATTTTTGAAAATGTGTCAATTTGATAGGTATAGCCCAACAACGAAAAACTACTACACTATGAATTTATGAAATCGATAGAACTTGCAAAATTTTTAAAAAATGTCAGTGATTAAATAACAGTACCTGAAATATCGCTAACTCTATTAGACATTCAATATGATGTTATGGATTACTTTGAAACAAAACTTTTTTTTATTCTAAAAAGTTATACCAAATATATTTAATTATTCACTGTAACCAGTTATAAAGCAAAATCTAATATACTACCAATGAAATAAAGTTTCAATAATATTACAAATAAATATAAAGTGTGGTATTTTGGGACAAGGACCACTTTAAATTCGTCTCCACAGAAATATATTCTAATGTATAATCTAAAACCACATATAACACCATTTTCCATCAATATATGTACCAAAATCTTTTTTTTTCTGTTTTCTATTAGTCTGACAAACACTGACAACTATTGTTTATGTCAATGGCTTTTGATACAAAAACAAAACAACCAATGAAAATATCTTGGTAAATATATACATTCTTAGTCAATATAATTATATGAAATGAATTTATGTATTAAAATTGTTATTTTTTATCAACTGGCCTTCTAAGAGACAAATATTTAATGTAATGACCAAAAATAGATGCAATTTGGCGATGAAAAAGTTTTCACACATTATAATTTGCTGCCTATTGTAGGAACTGTACAAAATATGTATAAATTATAAGAATAATATTTTCAGAAACCCAATGAATTAAAATTATCATAACAGTAAGAATTTTAAACATATTTTTTGCTGTTTAAAAAAACAAAACTATGACAAAAGTTATGCTTACACATACTGCATATTCCAGTAAGAAGCAGGCATTTGGTCTTGATCTGTCAATATTGCCATATGCATGACATAACCTGTATACTTTGAAATTGTCATGAAAAAATACTCCAAATTATATTAAGTCACTTAATTATATATAATAAACACCAATAAACGACACATTAGTAATCAAACGATTTAACTTCAGTCAGTTAACGTGTTAAGTTTACAAACTTGCCATTACTTTTAATTTAATTATTCGATTAAAGAATAAATAACAATATTAATTATTTAATTTTATTTTTGATAATATTAATGAGACATTTAAAAAAATTACTTTTTTATTACCTACCTACTGATAATAAATAATGTATTTAGTTATATGGTTTATTGATAATTTAGAGTGTGACAAAATGCATTGTTCTATTTTAATCAAAATTAAAGTGAACATCAACAATATGTTAACACAACTTCATTTTTAAAAGGAAAATTATATCACAATTTTCAAATGAAATAATTAAAATTTTGAAAACATATCATTAAACTTACCTTGGCCTTCCCCATTCATCAACTGGTTTTTCCAATTTGGCTCCTTGTCCCATCAACATATTCCTGTAGTTGTTCACCTTGTTTGCTATAGTTTCTTCACCAAATCTGGAAAAAATATAAATTGATTTTATTCCAAAAAATATATCATATTTATTATACAAAGGAAAATAACAAATGCATTTAAAAATTAATGAACTCTTTCAAAATTGAAATTGGCAAAGTCCACTTCAACTGAAAACTCCAAAAACTTATTAACACCATTCTCTTATAATGAATTAGAATTGGCCTTAACGAAAACAAAGAACTCGTCTCCAGGTTTAGACAATATTCATTATACAATGCTAAATAACCTCCCTAAGATTGCTAAACAACAACTATTAAATACCTTAAACAAAATATGGGCTAAGAAACTGGACATTCCAAAATCTTGGTCTGATTATATTATTTTACCCATACTCAAACCAAACAAAATTCCAACTAATGCAGATTCATATAGACCAATAGCACTATCATCTTGTGTTTTAAAAACATATGAAAAAATGATCAAACTTAGACTGGAACATTGGATGGAACACAATAATATGTTTCCAAACTCACAATTTGGCTTCAGGAGAAACAAGTCTACTCAAGAAAGTATTGCAACCATAACAACTGATTGGATTTTCCCAACAAATTTCTACCACTGCTCTGTTTTTAGATATTAAAGGAGCTTATGATAATGTCAATCTAGAAATACTGATTCAAAAAATGACATCATTGGGGATCCCTCACTTAATCTCCTTACATATTTATAAACTATATACAAGACGAAAGTTATTGATTAGAATAAATAATGAATTTATAGGACCTAGAGAAACTTCATTTGGTCTTCCTCAAGGAAGCTTTTTAAGTCCACTTCTATACCTTATTTACACACAAGATTTGGAACGACTTATATCTATTCCTACAAAAATTCTTCAATTTGCTGATGATATTATTTTGTATACTCAGCATAAAAGTATTGATTCTAGTATTTATCAACTATCATTAGATGTAGAAGACATACAGAAATGGTTGTTTGAAAATGGTCTAACAATTTCAGAAAACAAATCAGTGGTAGTTTGCTTTACAAGGAAAATAACTCAACTTTCAAATGTTGCTTCACTAGGAAATTGTCAATTTCAACTTAAAAGTAGTCATAAATTCTTGGGTGTCATATTGGGCAAGAAGCTAAACTGGAAGGAACATATTAATTATATTGTAAAAAGAACAGAAAATGCTGTTAATTTAATAAAAACTTTTTCCAAATATAATTGGGGTGCAGACCCCAACATAGCAATATTATTCAATGATGCATCAAATACTCATCTGCAAAAATTGGACAGAATAAAATACAAATGTCTTAGATTAAGTATAGGTTTTCTCCCAAGTACTCCAATTAATGTAATAGAATCAGAAACTACAGAACCTCCTCTCAATTTTAGAAGAAAATTTTTATCTGAAAAGTTTTTAATAAATCAAAGGTCGAAAAATTCGGTTCTTCTCCCCCTCTTATCAAATTTATCTTCTCTGTGTTTAACTGGAAAGTATTGGTCAAAGAAAAAACTACCTTTACTAGTAGACTTTTTTATCTACCATTGAAATGATTCCAGACCTCCATCAACAAAATAAAATTCCACTATGGTCCTTACATTTTTCAGCTTTATCAACCCCATTGAAAACATATATAAACAAAAATCTACTGAATGAAAACCCTCTAGTGATTAAAAACGCATTTAAAGAAGATTTAATAAAAAAATGGAATACATTTGAAAACATATATACGGACATATATGGGAACCAATTAGGATGTGCAATTTTGTATCCTAACAAAAATTATGAAATTTCATTTAAACTTCCCAGTACAATGTCAATATACAATGCTTTACTGATAGTAAGAGTGCAGTAGAATATTTTGCTAAATGGAACGTTACCAGTCCTACCAACTATATAGTCTCAGAAATTCTTAAGCTTAACTACCAATGTTTGGAACAAAATAAAGAAATTTTGTTGGCATGGATAAAATCTCATGTAGGTATTAGTAACAATGAGAAATCAGATTTTATTGCTAAATCTAAATTATCAATGTTTAAAACTTGACTAATTTTAGAATGTGTCCTAAATTCGCTAGATACTGACACAATGTACTTAGAATTAGTTAATATTGGTATACCTCTACCAATAAACATTGATGTTCTGCTTTCATTAAACGATGTTAAAGTTTATAAAATATTGTATGAATTTGTCAAAAAAACTAATACAAGTAGCTGAACTACCCTAAAAATATTGTAAACCTGAAACGAAAAAATAAAATAAATGATAAAACAAAAAAAGAAACAAAATAATACAGAACAAAAAAAATATAAAAACAAAAATAATACAAAAAAAAATAAAAAATAAACAAAAATACATATAATTAAAAAAATAGATATTTTTTATAATTAATTACAAACTCAGGTATTTTGATAGTTGTAAGTTAAAATATAATAATAATAATAATGTAATCATGTAACAATAGTGAATAAAACAATTAAAGAATTATGGGTTACTACAATAGTCTGGCCTTTTGGTTTTATCCAGTGCCATTAAAAATATTTGAATATTAACAGCAATGAGAAATATTTCAAAAATGAGCTAGACCAATTTACAAATAACATTTTAATATTGAAAAATTTAAATGCATAAAATATTTTAGGAAAGATGTTCAAAATTTTGCTCACTCTACACAAGTTAACACAATGTTTTGTGATTTAAAAAAGGTTTCGACAACTTATCCAATGACATTTTATTAGAGAAATTGCAGTATTATAATTTCAATGTATCAATAGTTTAATTAATAAAATCTTATAAAAGCAACAGTTTGTATGTTAACAGTAAAAATATAACTTAATATTTTATCAATAAAATGCGAAGTCCTACAGGGTTCCATTTTAGGACCTATAATTTTTCTAATTTATATAAACGACTTCAATACTTGTTTAAATTTAGCAAATGTGTCACACTTTGCTGATGATGCAGTCATTATTAATTATAATAAACTCATTGACAATATATTACAGAAAATAATAATTGTTTATTGAACTGAATATTCAGTCCAATAGGTTATCAACCGAAGTCCTTCTGCTATACTAGAGAAAAATCTACAAATTATGAAAACAGATAATCAATGGTTCGCCAGCAATAAAATCTTACTAAATGAATGTATTTTTCACTCATAAAAACTGGATATCAATAATATAAATTTTGTTAGATACAGTAGAGCATCCATAATACAGACAGCGTCGATAATATATGGACATCAAAAATAAAATAACAGGAAAAGTCTGTAATAACTAGACAGGAAAGTTTGTACTATTATAAAAAAAATAATTTTGAATATTTAATTCATCCTATAGTTTTTATTATTTGGCTTCTCCTGTATTAAAATCAATGTAAGTATATTCTACTAACCCTTGCTCTTCAAGCAATTCTCCAAATTCAGCACACTTCAACTCGATTTTTCTTTTTCTTTCATGGTCCAGAATCTCCTTGTTAGGTTGTTTATTTGAAGCAGTATCTAAGGTAGCTAGTTCTTGCTCATTTTTGTATGTTTTATCTCTATCTTTAGGTCTAACTAAGGCCCAATTTCGCTGTACGTGTCCATTCGTTCCTGAACCCCTGGGGGTCGCGAGACCTATACCATTATACATTTCTGAAAATTAAAAATATGAATGAAATAATTGAATACAACTACTTGATAAAGAAATCATAATCGAGTATTAATTAGATTATCAACCTCGCGAAGAGCGTGAAACGTGTAGTCAATTTATTTTAGTTCGTAATGAATTCGTTTTAAGTTTAAACATGTCATAAAATCAGTTATTGATTTTACTATGCTCTCTACGTAAGCTATTTTTGGCTTACCTGATTATATTAAAGGCTAATTTACAATATATTATACATAAAATGTTTTGAGTAATTCACTTTTTTTGAGCCTTAGATGCTCTTTAAGCTTAACTTTTCTCAAAAAGCTTTTGCCATCTACAAACAAATTTTAATCATTCTTCCAAGAGTTTCATGACACTTTTGACATTTTATTTTGACATTGACAATAATGACAACTGATAGATGACACTAACCATTTGTATAGAACAATAAGGTGCGATCGTTTATTAGAGCTCTATCAGTCAAATCACACTTTTGATTTCAAAAATGCAAGGATGAGATTACAGAAGCTCTGCAAATCGTACTTGCATCTGCAAATATCAGTTTCAGTTGCAAAAGAGAAACATGGTAATACAGAAACGTGTTCTCACGTTGTGCGTCTGCAAATTATCTGTAACTTTGCAGGAGGTTAGAACAAGGTCTTTTCCTTTGCATCGGAAGTGTAGCACTGAGCTACGCCACTTTTGAAAATACCGTTCCATCCATACAATTTGTATAAATGGAACGATATTTTCAGAAGTGGTGTAGCTCAGTGCTACACTTTCGATGCAAAGGAAAAGACCTACAACTTACAAACTTGCAGATTGTCAATGTTTACTTTTTTTTAATAACCATGAAGTCTTCTGTTCCTTTTGAATATAATTCGTGGTGTCAGATTGCCGAGTTTTTAAACATAATAATGGATTTTTGTTGGGGGTAATAAACCACAATAAATATTGCGAATTTGCAGATATTTATTGGCAGACGAAATCATGATACTTGAATCTGTAAGTCCGCCATATTTGCAGATCTGCAAAGTTTCCGCCATATTCGCAGATCTGCAAAGTTGCAGACTTGCTTTTTCTGTAATCTCGCCCCAATTGGCAACTTTTTGAGCCATGTCTGAGGTCTGAGCAACTTAAAATTTATTATAGTCTAGACTAGAGCGTTGTCACCTAGAGGCCATATGAGGAGATTTTTCCCAAATTTGGGGGATTTTAATTAGTTTGGAGCAAATTTTGTAGGGAATTTTTTTCGGGGTATTGTCTGGGGTAAGATTTATTTAAACAGATTAAGATTTAAGATATATTTATTAGGAATCCAAATTGTTGTTTTTTATTGTAAATATAATAGCTATTTATGAAACCAGTTGCTACATGCAACATGAAATAAAACGGCGTTTCGTAACGCGTTACATACAATCTTTATAATTTTGACTAAATTTTTATTAGTGATTTGGTTAAACAATACTGACATTCAGGCAACCAATATTGCTTTCTTGAGATTGTTAGTTGCATATGCATAATTTTATTGACATTTAGAACCACATTTAGAACATCATTATTAATTATTTATTATCAACGACTTGCAGTGTGTTTATATTGTTTATTAAAAATATTTAGTTTTTAGAAAAGTGGGTTATTTTGTCGTATATTGTGTTTTAATTATTTTGTCCTGATTTGTACTAGAAAATAAGGACCAAAACAACATTATTATTAGGTTGTAAGTTTAACCAAATTTTATTTTTATAAGTCAACGCATGCCCTTCTTTATATGTAAATTATTGATTTTAAAACCAAAAAATGGTTTATTTTTATTTGTTTTCTTTTCGCAACTAGTGACATAATTAATTTTTCTAAATCAGTTTCATAATACAACATTATGCAACTGGTTACGTAAAGTAAATCATTTTGGTACTAGCTGAGATTACAAAAATGTCACTTTATATGTAAAAATTAGAAAAATATTATTATTGTGTAATTTTTTTTATTAAATTATTAATATTTGGGATTTTTAAATATTTCCTCACAACGAACAACCATTTTTTACAAACTTTTGGTAAATATTTCAAATTGTGTACTTTTTAATTTTTGTTGGGAATTTTGTATTATAAGGTTGCGGGTTTGGGGGATTTCTTCGGCTAGATTCTAGATAGGCAAGGGGCCATATTTAGGAACAAAAAGAAGAAGCTGTAATTTTTTTGAGGTTATTTAAAAAATTTTAATTATAAATAAATAATCTATACAATTAGAATTAAAATTAAATATGTCTCCAGCAAAAAGTTCGAAAGGTCTAACCGATGAAGAAGTTGACAAGTTTGATTGGATTTCTCTAAAACAAGAAATGGATGCAGCCCTACCTACTGAAACTCAATCACAAAAATTAGCAAGAAAATTTAAAGAGAATCCTTTTGTACCTGTAGGTAAGAAAACAGTGGACCTTGAACAATCATTAGAAAACAGTATAGATTAGTCAATCATAAGAGAATAGATTAATTCAGTTTTTTATTTTTTTAGGTTGTCTGGCAACTACTATGGCATTGGGCTATGGATTGTGGTGTTTTAGAACTGGTCAGAAAAAGATGTCTCAGTACATGATGAGGACTAGAATAGCAGCTCAAGGTTTTACAATAATAGCTATGATTACAGGAGTAAGCATTGCTGCTAGAAAAACATTAGAGCAAAAGAAGGAACATTAGTTTGTTTTATGTTATGTAGTTTTAAACTGTAAATATTTGTTGACCGAAATTGTATATATTTTGTTAGTTAATATCAAAATACATGATAGTGATAATAAAAACTGTAAAACAAAAAAACTTTAAATATACTTATCAGATATTATAATTTTGTTCTCTCTTATCAAAGAAATTATGTTTAAAGTGATTTATTTATAATATTAAGACAGTACAATTTGTATGCATCAAATATCCATTTTTTTTTAAATACAAGTTATTTTTCTTCAAAATTTTATTTTTAAATCCTCTAAATATCCCCTTATTATTTTAAAGGTATTTTAATATATAATTATCAATGAAATTACAGAATAGCGTCGATAATCCGGACCGTCGATATCCAGACTATTGAAATAAATAATTGAATAATAGGTTGCAAAAAGCTAACCATTGTAGCAGTTGAAAATCAATGTATAAACTACAGTATTCTGTAAATACATATTGTACATTACATACATTAAAATACATTATAAGTTCATATTAATTGATGGTTTTATTTATCTGCTCAATTATTTAACAAAAAAGTGAATTATTAACGGTTTTAGCACTAGCAGGTTTCTTTTTGTTATGAACTCAAACGACCTTTTTTTGATTCTTTTCGAAAATCCGGACACGGTGTGGTCACAATTAATCGGAATTATCGACGCTCTACTGTACTGTAATCAGTTTCTCCATTTTATGATAACAATTTTGCATTAAATTTATTCACACTTTTAAAATTGGAAGAAATGTCTTAATGTAATATATGTTGCCTAACAATTTCTACACAATCAAATAAGAAATAGAAACCTGTAATGGCATTAGACACAACTACTTGCGGACAGATGGCGCTGTATCCACCACCTGGCATTTTTTTAAAAAGTCATTCACTAGTCTCCGAGCGCGACTGCAACTCGAATTCGTTTGTTTTGCCAGTCAGTTTGTTGCTTGAGTGTGAATAGTGTTGGAGCATAGCAAGCTGAGAAGCTGCGTTCGACAACTCTATCAGCTTGATTGTGACCCATGTTTTCATTCATATCTTCCCGCCTAGTGCCTTGTTTACAAAAATATATATTTTAATCGTTAAATATGTAATATTATGTTCGTTCTCGCCTTAGAATTTGTTAAAATCGGACGGTTAGATTGTTAAAATTTGAATAAACCAATCGACCTAACCTAAACGGTTACAGACAGCTGTTGGAAATAAAAATCGTGGTTGGCCAGGTATAAAGGCTGATTTTCGGGTACTCCAACTGTTAAGTTGACTTTTGTGACGTTTTGTTATAAGTGCCTGATTTTTTTCGCAAAATGTTTGGATTTACACCTTCTCGTGATGGACTTTTACAGATTGAAGACGATCTTTTATCGTCCTTGATCCAGAAGGGAAATATTACAGGAGTTTATGATTTGGATAAAACACCACTTGGCAGGTAAGTGTTTCACTGTTTTCATTAGATTATCATTGTGTGACGATATAAACACCTTTAAGCTCGTTATCTGTATACTTAGATAATTATTTCCACGAATATAATAATAAATATGCCGATTAGATAAATATACAAATTTTTCTACATCAAGTACTTTCAAAAATACAGATATAAATAACAAAAATAGGTGTTTTGTTAAAAACGAGTCATATGAAAATTTCCATCATTATTTAGATAGAATTTCATACACTTCTAGGTATAAAATTAGTATTTTTATTACAAAGTATAAAATTGCATTATCTGTCTAAAACCACATGTATTTAACAAGTAAGTAATTTTACCTGTTAGATGCACTTTTAATATGGTAATAATTCTAAAAATAGACATTACTGTATTTGATGATTAACTGTTAATTAATGATTTTATCTAACTAAAATACAATATTGAGTATTAATTTATATTAATTTTTCATTACACAAAAAGCCCTCTTATTACCACCAAATTGTATTGAGGAATAAGTACCTAGTTTAAAGAAATTAATTTAAAAAAATACAGGTCTAGGTTCTTTTGACATTGTTATACCTACCTACCTTTTAAGTCTTTGAGGCCTAGGTCCAGATAATAAATATAGGTACATTGAATTCCTATTCCTAAACTCATAAAAAATGTATAGGAATTTCCTTAAACATTTATTTTCAATTCATATGTCATTTATTTGTGTTTACTGTGTTTTCCTTCTTTTCATCAGTCTCTCATACCTACCTACCTTTTAAGTCTTTGAGGCCTAGGTCCAGATAATAAATATAGGTACATTGAATTCCTATTCCTAAACTCATAAAAAATGTATAGGAATTTCCTTAAACATTTATTTTCAATTCATATGTCATTTATTTGTGTTTACTGTGTTTTCCTTCTTTTCATCAGTCTCTCATACCTACCTACCTTTTAAGTCTTTGAGGCCTAGGTCCAGATAATGAATATAGGTACATTGAATTCCTATTCCTAAACTCATAAAAAATGTATAGGAATTTCCTTAAACATTTATTTTCAATTCATATGTCATTTATTTGTGTTTACTGTGTTTTCCTTCTATTCCTTCTTTTCATCAGTCTCTCCTTTTTCTGATTTGTCTTTTATACAAGACCCATAGCTCCAAGCCTCTCCATAAATGTCCCAGCCACCTGAGCCACTTCATGCTTTGCATAATTAATTATTTACTATAATAATTATTTATTATAAAATGTAGATAAACCGATTTAAAAAAACCAACTACAAGTAGAAAAATTAAACAAAAAAAAAACGGTAATAAATAGTTCATACTCGAGAATATGCACATCAAAAAAACTACCCCAATTATCTAAGAGAATCCACGATACAATATGTACTTAGGCTTTACTTTGATGGAAATCAGTTGATTTGTGAAGTGTGTTTTAAATTTATTAGCAACCAGCAAATTTCTTTATATCTGCATTTTGTTCTTCTTATTTGTGAATAGTTTATTTTCTGATATCAGGTATTGAAAATGTTTCGCTTTAATAGGCAACCATACAAAATAGTTCATTTTCAATCATGTTTATCAGAATATCTAATCAATCCTTGATTAGACTGATAACAACCCCAGGATGTTATTATCAAGGATAATATAATAAGTGGTACTCTATAATCAACAAATTTTTTTAAATATCAAGTTTTTTAATGACTGAGTTGGGAGTCATGAGTTGGAATTATAAAAACATTAATTAGGCAAACCACGAAATTACAGGGACAGGGATAACACCCGCATAAATTTAACAGGTGAAAAAAGCCTTATACTTATTCCTTCTTTCGTTTTTTTTCTTCTTAACATCTACTTCAGTAAAATTTATATTCTTGAGTTACTTTTTTGTGACTGACAACATAACAATCTAAAGATGATACCAGAAAATTAATACCTAATAAAAACATTTTATTTTGTAATTACTCTCGGACTAGAAATATTTAATTATTAAGTACTGTTAAACTATATAACCTCGGCTGTAACTTATTCCTCTAGCTTTTCACTAATGTATGACAAGAAGGGGATGCTATTTTTTTAGAGACCACCTCGGTTTTCTTTAGTTTTTTTGTTTCCAAAAACTACCACAACACATTTTTAGTTTCTTGAAATATTATGAAAGTTTTGCTCTTCGAACTAATTTTAAATCTTTACTAAGGTTAAAAATAAATTATTTTGTAAAATCTATAAAGCAATACCGAGAGCAAATATTCAAAAGTTAGTCAAACGGGTTATAAATTGTTTTTTTTTTTTTTTTTTTTTTTTTTTTTTTTTTTTTTTTTTTTTTTTTTTTATAATAAAGCATGTTTAAAAATGTACACAAAAATTTTGCCTTCTACTTTGTTATTTTTAAAGGTTGTGCTTTAGAAATAATTGTATCTTGTGCAGACGTTCTCTAAAAACTAATAATCATATTGGGGTTAGAAAATTCACATTGTATTGAAGTAAATACCTATAAATTTCAGTAAATATATTCAAAATTGAACCACCTTGTCATCAATGAACGATCTTTAGCAACAAAGCAAAGAATCTAAATCAGGAATTAAAAATTCATTCTTATTTTATTAATTTATTTCAAGGACTGAGAGCTGTTATGTTTTAGCCATGGTTTGTTTATTTTCTAAAAGTTCGTAGATAGGTGATGGTGAAAAAATATTACATCTTCTTGATTAAAATTTGAATTTATTATGTGTTAAAATTAATTTAACTACTAAATTACACTTTACAACAATATACTTACGACGTAAATAAGAAACCCTACTGCGATATGACCCAAAATAACGAAATTTAAACCCTAGATACCGAATGATTTCCATATGGCCGTATCTTACTACAAAACAAGGTCTTTCTGAATGACAAGTAAGATGGACCATATGGCTTTGGAACTTTTGCTCGGTACCATCACCTGTTCGTCTGCGAAATTTTAAAATCAATATTTTAATTAACAGGATGCTGGGGCGTGTTTCATTTAAATTTAGTTTGTCACAATACCGGGTCTAAGTTCTGAAAATTATGAAGATATATCTAGATCTGTCATAATTTCCGGTAAATATCTAGCTTTGAATGGACTGTAATAGTCAAATTTTTTTATAACTTCATTTTAAACGTTACCACATAAAATTTACAAAATTTTGCAGTTCAAATATCACTTGAGGCCGAAAAAATAATGTTAAAGTTGAAAATTGTATGTCCCTTATGTCCCGTGACGTGTACCAATAAATTTTGTTGCCAGATGTCTACTTTTATTTTCCTTAGTCCATCTCTGTGTGTGTATTGTAGAAAGAGTGAAATAAAAAAATAATTAGGTGTCTTTCTTGTTTTTAATAATTCTGATCGATGCATCAAAATAAAATGGTAGCATCGATTAAAATTTACTAATAGTAAATATATTTTAAAAATTTTGTAGTTGTCTATAGGTATTTTAAATAAATAATAATAAAAATTCCAAGTTTTTTTTACTTCGACAGGCAGTAAAATTGGTTACAAATCTAGACAGCTTGATTTCTTTTAGGCGGTACCACGCATATTTAATATAATTGCAACATTATATTCCCTAACTTACCAAATGTCAGAAACTTCATGTCTATGTCAGTTTGTAACTAAAATTAATTCATACAATTCTGTATTATATTTCTATTTCTGAATCGTTTGTAAAAGCAAATTTAATTAATTTAAAAACTTCCACAAACGTCAAATAAGACTTGACAGTTAGAACAAAAGGAACAAAAATACCGAGGGGTATTTCACTCTACAAAAAAACGTACATGTATTGCCAAATTCTGGCATTACTTCGGTAATTCTGAGGATAATTCCAAAAAAAGCTTGGTAATGCCATGTAATGTCAGGCAAAGTAGATAATTCCGTTTACTTAATAATAATTTAAATAAAACCTTAAGTAGGTAATAAAATGTTGGAAGAAAACCTATAAAATAAAAGAAAACTTCTTATTTTGGGATTATCCATTTTTTTTTGTATTACCGAATAATATTACTAACATTTTTGTTTGGTTAATACTTACTTAAAAAATAATCTACTCATAATGAAAACACGTTTCGTTTTTGGGTTAATTGTTTTAAATACGGACCTGGAATTTTTTTCTAATTATTTTATACTACTTTTCCTTTTTATTAATTACTAAAAAACACTGTAATAAGTCCAACATTTCTGGACTTAGGACCAATGGTTATATTTCTTCTCCGATAGATGGTATATCTTCCGCTGTACATCTTTAGTAAAATTATTTATAAGTTACATGGTTGTATTCAGAATGAAAAGCATTATAAATAATTCTAATAAAAATTCAAGCTCCCTGAAGTCGAATACTCGAATATTCGAATAAGTCGAATACTCGAATAGTGAATAATTTGGGTATTCGAATAAAGTTTCAAACGAATAATCGAATACAAAAATCTGAAAAATTCCGAGCCCTAAAAAAAAGTAGTATAATCAATAATAAAACATAGCTAGGTATTTACGAGAAAACAAGAAGAAAATACAAATTATTTAAAAATATTTAGCACCGTTGTAACAATGTGTAGTTATTCTATAGAGTGAATTTAGGCGGGAAATTTTATCAAATATAGTTTTTCAATCCCAATTTTCTTCTAAATGTCTAATTAAAAGGATACATCAAATTATCACACGATAAGTTGTTTGTTACTACTGAAAATGCAGTTTTAATCCTCTCGATTATCATATGAAACTTGTTAAGAATTTTTTTATTGTGCATTGTAATATTTTTGTAATTATTATATGTTGTAATCACTGCCTCTTTACTTGCATTTGTCACAATTTTATAAGTTAATAATGTTTTTCTCATTGCTTCAAGGTTTTGTTAAACCAAGAGAGTTTCGTTTTTATCTTTTTCATAGAAAAACAACTTTTTACAGCGTTGTTGTAGGTATTAATTAAGAAACGATGGTCAGAAATGTATATTGCTATTTGATTGAAAAGTGGTCTATTTAATATC